TTTAGATTTCCAGGTGGATCTGGTCGACAAGGTGGATTTAGTCAACAAAGTGGGTCTGGTCAACAAGACGGATTTGGCCAGCAAGGTGGATCTGGTCGACAAGGTGGATTTGGTCAACAAAGTGGATCTGGTCAACAAGGCGGATTTGGCCTACAAAGTGGATCTGGTCAACAAGGTGGATTTGGCCAACAAAGCGGATCTGGTCAACAAGGTGGATTTGGCCAACAAAGTCTCCAACGACCGCCACAAATTAATGTAAACGTTAGTCCTAGACAACCGGGGCCACAAGTTTCCCCCTTAGGACCACAAAAAGGTCCTTATAATGGTTCAACATATCCTAGTGGGGCTACACATAGTCCACAAAGCGTTTCATTTCAACAACAACAACCACAACGTCCCTTAGGTCCAACCGGTTTTAATCAATTGCCTGAATCTCGTCCCATCAATCAGCACACACAACAATTTCCTCAGCGATCCCCTCAACGATTTCCTCAACGATTTCCTCAGCGATCTCCTCAACAATATCCACCAAGAATGCCAGCCCCACGCCAACAGTGAGTGCTTCATAGAAGTCACTGTAAGAGACTTATATCAACAGTTACTTTATTTGTATTTAGATTTCCTGGTGCGATACCACCACATATGGTCTATAATGAATTACTCGGTCCTGATGCATTTAAAGATGTAATATTGAATATCGATTACGGTGCTGTTGAAGCATATAATAGTGTCTTTCGACATGGAGGTCAGGTTAATATCCCAAATTTTAGAAGTCGAAGGCCACCAGGAATTAGTGTTCATCCCGCTTACACAACTGTTGAGTCTCTAAATCATCAACCACATGTGCTTAATACTGGTCGGCCGATTGATACCGGATTTAGACCCCATAATCAATATTTTGACGGTGGATACGGAGAAGGCACTGGACGCGATTATTATAGTTCAAATAACGATATCGAAAGTATATTGGCTCAATCGACAGGTTATGAATCATCATCTGTAGGCGGACCAGATTTTCAAAGTGTGTCTGGATATCAAACGGGTGAATCACTGCCTGAAGGAGACATAGGAAGAAACTATTATCAACAACAAAATGCCGGTGCTCAAGAAGGATCTTTTGAGTTAGGGCCAGGAGCCGATCCTGGTACTAGCGTAGCTCAAATACTTAGTCAAAGTGGATTAGAACAGGCTTTACGAAGCAGGGCGCTATAAGAACATTTCATAGTTTGTGACACATCAGTTTTATTGTTTCGTTTCTTATAGCCGAATACCTATACTAAATAGTTATTTTTTATATTAGTATTATTTGTTATTTAGAATAGTGGATTTGTATTGTAAGAAAAACACCATTGTTCGTTTACGTATGGATTATTCATTCATAACGGTAACAAATAAGCTTACAATTCCCGTTTTTCGGTTGACTGCGCAAGATAAGAGTTACCTTTTTATTGTTGATAGACAGTATGCTTTTGTTATATTGTTTTTTTTCTTTAAATATGATTTTTACGATAAATCAAAAATGAATAATCATAGTTTATTGACGCTTATTATCTATTATCTAGTGGAATCTTTTTAATATATATACTATAATGTACTTGAAAGTGACATGATCGAAACGCAGCTACGAAATAACCAGTGATTTATCTACGTTTCGTTTATCGGAGGAGCAAATAAATGTTCCGAGATGACTACTGTCTAAAATGCTATTTGTTTTAAATTAATTATTTCCGACATGAGAAACTGAAAAATCGATGGGCATGCCGTTCATTCAGCCCGTCCGCTAGATAAATCACTAGAAATAACTGTGCTGAATTTTAGTTGAGATCTGAATAATTCTGCCAAAAAGTTTTTGACATATGAGATCTTTATCTGAGAAGATTCTGTCATAATATCTTTCTACCGACAATGTATACTGAGTCAAAATATGTCTGAAGTCTATAGACCCGATATTGAATCTTTTCTTTTTTTTAAATAAAAATATATTAATAAAATACAGAAATATATAGATGATCAGATGTTTGACTCTGTTGAATGTGGTGTAACCCAAGCGTTTGATGATACAACTGATATATTTAATAATGGCACTGTACGTATGGATTTTGCCGATTTTTTGGTACTTAAATTTTCGATATTGTCTACATGGGTCTTGCTATTATCGAGTGTATTTATATCTGTTATGTTAGACGTCGTCTTTATAGTTCGTACCGATTGTGCACGCTGCCTTATCTTATTATCTACTTTTTCTTGTTGTTCATAATCTTGTTGTTTTAATGTTGATGAATACCGTCGTTGAGGTTTACCACGGAATGGTGTTGTATCAAGATACATTTTTCCTGCAACACCTGGTAATGAGATTGCTCGAGGTGATGGTTTATCACCAATTAATTTCATTTCAACTTTCGTTGGAGTATCATTAGTTGATGAATTAGCACCATTCGATTTCAGAGCAGTTATTGGAATACCTCTAACGAAAGGTGAAGTATTAGTACCACTATGAGTAACTATCGATTGTGGATGTCTCGATAATTTAGCAGATTTATTCGAGGATAATTGACTATTATTATTCGTTCGAGAAAAAGTATTATTCAGTGAATTTCGACGTACGATATTTTCAATACAAGTTTGAGTTGATTGATTTTCATGCGGATGCTGAGAGGATAATTCACTGGAATTGTCATCAATAGCTAAAATGAATAAATAATGGTAGAAATCAACATAAATGATATCAGTATACACTTAAATACTTACGGTGATCTGAGATGGGTGATTGGGGATCGGATAAATGATCCGTTGAATGATTATTAGTATTTCTAGATATCTGAAATTAATTTGAATGAAATAAATTAAGGTTAATAAATAAAAGTGCTATAGTTACTATTACTTTTAGATGCGGTGGGTGTGAACCGTCAAATGGTGGCTGTTGTTCAGTTTCATTATCTAGATCATCATCAAATGCACATGTTGATGTGGAAATTGAATTTCGTTGTATACGTTTTCGTTTATCCTCTGCTAATTGTTGTTTTTGATTTGATATCATTTCATCATTCTGAATATCAGGTGACATAGTCGTTGTCTGCGACGATATATCACTATTAGTGACTATTACTGGTTTAATCGATTGATCAGATCGTTCTAAATCGTTTAATTCTTGTCGTTCTCCTAATTTATAATTGGGTGATAATTTTGATCGATACTTTTTCCAATAACATGAAAAAATTAAGAATACTACAAGTACAATTAAAAATGCCAAGCCCAGAACAACTCCGACGATCAATGATGTTGTGCTATTAGTTAAACTTCCAGTTAAAGCAGTATTACCATTACTACCGTTCGACTGTGTGGATGAAGTAGCTGAACCGTTAACTACACCTCCTGTTGTTCCACCACTAATTACTGTTGTAGATGCAATTGTTGATGGCCAATAGGTCGGTGCAGGTGATGTTGAAATATCACTGTTATTGTATAATGTACAAAATCGTGAATGATCTGTAGATAAAGTAAAACTTGAACAATTTTTCGTTGAATATGTATTATTGATAAAAAGTTGTCCGATCGCTGCTACTGGATAACTACATTTTGCTTTTGCTAATGGTGCTGTACCATTACTTATGAGTGGAAATATTCCAGGATTAAGTGGATCATCAATAACTTGAAGAAGATTATACGATTGACAATCACATGTTAAATTATTTCCACTTAGTTCTAAAGCCGATAAACCAAGTATAAAATAAATTGTACTACTCATACTTTGTGTAGCACAAGCACCATACATTTCTAATAAAATGTCTGATACAGATGTTAACTGATTATTACTTAAATCAACATAGCGAGCATCGGGTAAATTTGGTAATTGAATCATATCAATCGGCACTGTATTTATATAATTAGCAATTTGATTATTACTCAAATTAATTTCCATATAATGTCCTAAAAAAAATCCAATAATAATTTATTTTTGTCAAAAAAAAAATAATTTTCTGTATTTCTAATGAGAAAAAATATTTTTACCTGTAGAGATAAATATTGGCCACAGATCGACGGATGGTATTTGATTAAAACTAAAATCCATTAACGTTAGTTCGGATATAAAATTAACAAAATAGGGACCATCAATTGTTGGCATTACATTGATTAAATTATGAGCAAAATTCATTGTTACTAATTGTCTATTTGCTATAAACAAATTATTATCTAATTGTTCAATAAAATTATAGGATAAATCAATATTGAGTAAATTTTGTAAACAACTCATCGATGATGTATTTAGTATTCCAGTAATACTATTATTAGCTAAAATTAAAGTTTGAATATTTGGATAATCACATATATTATCTGGAAGTGAACTTAATGGGCCATTTGTATTAATTATCGATGAATATAACTTTAAAGTAGTTATATTTAATTGTAAAGCAGATATCATCATTGATGGTAATGTTGTTAATGGTGTAGTCGGATCACAAGCTATATTTAATGTAATATTATCAGTAAGTGAACAATTACAAGTAGAAGAATTACATTCATCAGTAGTAGTTAACCTTCGATAACGTTTAACAACATACTAGAGTAAGACAAAAAAAAAAAAAAAGAAAAGATATATAATCAATTAGAAATTTGAACTATTTTATTTTATCATATTTCTACCTGTTCAGGGAATTTAATTTTAGATTTAAATATATTTTGTTCCATAGATGCACATAGAGAATACATTATACAATAATATAAAAGTAGACGTATATATTGTTGTAACATATTTTAATATAGATAAGGATTAGTTCATTTTTTTCTTATTATATACAAGTTTTCATAACATTTTAGAATACAAAACTCTCAACTAATATTGGCATTATGTCAGATGTTTTTGATCAAAAAAGAAGTGAATGAAATTCTGTTAAAGATGTAAGACTTTCTCCTTCTTTTGTTTTTCTTTTGTAATAAATAAATTTTGGCGAAATAAAGTAACTATTTACAACAACACACCTATTCTTTACATTAATGAAACCTAATAAATTTATTGAAAATTAATTAAAATGAAATAGAGATACGATACGATGACGAAAAAAAGAATAAAAAAAAAGTGACTTTTACAATCGAATAGATGTAATAAGTACAAAATGAGCATATATTAAAGTATTTTATAATGTTATCGAATATTTAATTTTAGCATCAGTATCAAGTGTTCAAGGAAATGAATTGATTATAGACAACAATATGTCTATAAAAATTAATAAATATATATAGATATAACTATTCAAATAGATATGACTTTTAGAAACTTATTGTTAGAGGTTAAAATGTACGATTGATTCGACATTAAATATGGTAACTAATGAGTTAATTTTATTATGAGTCATGTCAGGCCAAATAATGATAGTAGACAGAATTGAAAGTTTATTTCAGTTAATTATATTATGTTAAAAACGATTTTTTTTTCCACCATTCTATACGTTAACATAGTTTGTCATGTTTTTAAATACACATTTTCTGACATTTATTTTTTACTATAAAAACGTTCTGATATTGTTTTTTCTTACAGAAAAAAAACAAAATTCAAAATTATCGTTTCGTAATGTTGAATCATCTATCGTCAAACTATTCTGTATTATTTCCACAATAGTTCTTGGTTTTTAATTGTACATACACATACCAGAGATGTGCCGGTGGAAAGTGTTCTGTTTTAGTAGAATGGCAATAAGTTTTTACCGTTGACACATGACGAGCGCTAGAAATATGAACGCGACGTTATTCGATGCAGAAATGTTCGCTCTACACATCTGTTCACTTAGTTTCTTCAATAAACATTTATTTAAAAAATTATAGCCTTTATGATGCCATGAGACAATCCTCGCGGGAATTCCCCGCCCCGTCCCATAGGGATTGCCCCGTGGTCCGATAAAGGCTACAATAATAAACGTCTATTGAAGAAACTAAGTGAACAGATGTGTAGAGCGAACATTTCTGCATCGAATAACGTCGCGTTCATATTTCTAGCGCTCGTCATGTGTCAACGGTAAAAACTTATTGCCATGCTACTAAAACAGAACACTTTCCACCGGCACATCTCTGACACATACACAGAAAAGTTTTAAAACAAATTTATAAAAATAAACAAATATAAAAAACAAAACAAAAAGAAACTGCTTTAATCTCGATAAACTCTAATACATCCTTTAATAGGTTTTCGACAATTTGCTTGTGGACAATTAAATCTATCTACCATCGTTATTCCACAATCATGACAAACAATATTATGTCTACATGGCATTAAGAGTCCAGTCTTCCCACCTGGACATACACCGACACGAATTGTTGCTGTACATCCTCCGCCCAGAGGAGGTGGTGGTGTGTTTGCTTCTTTTTCTGTTGGACGATATAAACCAATGAAACGTAATGCTGTGATACGTGCATCCAAATCAAATTGTAAATGGTATAATGTCTTTTCAACTTGAGGATTGTCATTCACTGTTAAATCAATTGTAAACAAATCTTTTATATTGCGATTATTCGATGAAAATGTAATACAACCATTTGGTTTAACCCGTATACCTATAACAGAAAAAAAATAACTCTATATGAACTCTGTACTCTTCAGAATTCCCTGACCAAGAAACAACATTTTTCTTATATTATAGAATAACTATGGTGACTTCCCTCATCATACTACAAAACCAAAAACAAAATCCACTAACAAGATAACTAACTACTTACCAATTTCATCGCCAATACTTAAATGTGTAAATTCACTGTTAATTTCTTTTGATAATTCTGGATTTGGTGCTATTTGACCATCAATAAGGCAATGAAGCGTAAAATAAGATGATTTTGTATGATCCATATCTAATATTTGAATAATAAGACACATACAACGTTGTAAATTTTCATTAATTTTCATTGATGATTTACGAGTAGTATCTTTTTGTTTAACAGCTATATTATTCTGAATCTGATTAACATCACAATTGTTGATTTCGATAAGACCGGGTGATAAATCATAACTACCATAATAGGTCGTTTCATCAGAATGATAAAATTGTTGAAAACGTGCTAGAGCCCGATCAACATGAGACGACATTACTATTGATAATGTTTGAATTAATCTCATTTGAACAATTTGTCCATTCAAATCTAAAAATGAAGAAATATTTAGCACTGTTCAGTTATAGAATGCTGTAGATAAGAAATATTATACGTTCATACTCTGTAGATAATAAAATACAATAAAATATTTCTACTCACCGATAACACACCATAAATCTTTCGATACTGGTGTAAATGATAACTGTTTCACAAATCCATTTCCACAATAATCGAAGTATATGTCTCCTTCTGGCGTATATACAAGTCTTATTTCTCTGTCAACTAAAATATTTGGTGGTGAACGAGGTGAGGGTAAAAACCATTGATGTTGATTGTCTTGACTTGATATCGTTTTGGGTAGAGTTTCTTGAGTATATGTTGCTGGATCAATTGTAGTCAAACCAATTCGAATTGTACCATAAAAACCCTACGAGAGACTAAACTTGTATAATATTCGGTCTTAAAATAAATATACGATGTCATACTTTTGCTGTTTCTTCGATTAAAAATTGGACAATTTCATTTGGCATTACAGGACGATTTGTAAATATAAGATTATTATTTAATTTATCACGACGAGCACATGTATTGGATTTACTGAACGTTATATTGTCTCCATGTTGAAAATGAAACGAGAGAGGTTCACAAATTTGTTGCGATTGAGACTGTTCGGATTGATTGTTATTATTCATTGCCATATCACAAAATGAATGTCTATCAGAAAAATTTTAGTACATATCTAAAAAATACGAAAAACAACTAATAAAACTATGTTATCTGTATCTTGTAAATCGTTGACTGATTGATTATGAGACAAACGATTTAATTTAATATGCCATAAACAACTGTAACAATTGCATTTTCTGTTAATTAAATAGAAAACTTGAAAATATCATACAGATATTACATTGTCTCATCAATTTAGTCTATGGCAGACGAATCAACAAACAAAACAGACAAATAAAATAGGCCAAAACAAAAAATACTAGACAAATCCAAGTTCTATTGTTGAGAATTAATTAATTCACAATTCAATTTTCATTTTCATTTTAAGAACAGGTTATGCATGAAATAATGAATGCAGACAGTGCGATCAATTCAGTTTAATAGACTCAAAATAGCTCATCCTATTTTGTGCCTTAAATAACCTACAACTTTTTTTTTGAGTCTGCGAAAGTGATCACTTATTTTCAATAAAAAATTTTGCTCAAATCTTTTATAAACTATAGAAGTATAAAAAAAAATATAATTAAAAACTCAAAATAATAACCAATAAAAAGTAATGGAAATAAGATGAGTATCAATGTATCACAATATAGAACATTTGAACAATTTCTTTTTTACGAACAAAAACAGGATATTGAAAATAAAAATGTGATTAACAACATTCTCATTTCAAAACAAAAAATTTCTTGATAAAAAAATAAGTAAAAAAGTAAAAGTTTATAGAAAAATATAAAAAAATCACATTCTATGCGATAAAAGAAAAAATAAAAGACTGTCAATCGCTATTTTTCTATTACAGTAAAACTTTTCATTTCAAGCAACGTTTATGAAGAGATATAAAGAATAAAAAGAAAATAGTTCTACAAGTAAGAATTTACGTTTATCGATGGATGAAACACAATTTAGACTTTAGTGAATATCGCCTATTTCGACAATCTTGTTATGTTATTATGATCCACTAGACACGTATACACGAATGATTCTTTGAATTATTTTACGACATCCATCAACCGGACATGGTTTATTTATTAACATTTTTCCACATTCATAACACATTTCCATATGCCGACATGGCCATGTGATGCAATTTCTTGCATTTGTACACACATTTCCATTTTGTGGTATATTTGAATGACAATAGGAAGCCTCTAGAAAACCAATGGCTGTTAATCGATGAGCCAGATCCAAATATAAATGATAATTATTTTTACTTATACTTGGAATTTTGAAAATGGGCAATGGTTCGTTATTATTTTTTGAATAAAATACTTGATCATTTCGAATACTCAACATTATTTCATCATCGATTTTTAAATGAAGATTTTTCAATGTTGTACAATATGATCGATCATTTATGTTCTTGTCACGTATTAGAGACAAACTAAATCCATCTGTCTGTAAATGATCAAGATCTAATACAATAAATGCTATATTCATACCATTCTTCAATGGTTCATTAACAATTACTGATGCATGATCACCTGAAATATGAAAAAGAAAATATATATCAGTATATTTTAAAACAAATAACAATCCACAATTATTCAAACTCGTCTGAAGAACTTATTCTCTATTTATTTAGCTAAATATGATAAGACAGTAACAATTTTTTTAATCTAATTTCAAATCACAAGTTTTCAAATTGACAAGAAAGATAACTGAACTAAACTGAAATTTATTCTTACACAAAGATAGGATATCACAAAAAAGGCTATTATAACTAAACTAAAAAGTTTCTAAGAAGAATCGCTATTATAACACATACATTGTGAGAGAAAACATAAGTGCGATATATTTTAAGAGAAAGAGCAAATCTAAACATAAACATTATTGAAAGCCTAGATGATCTGTTAACATACGTTTAAATATAGATAAAGAAGACTGATATACTAAAATCGAAGGAAGTTTATTCCATTCCTTTGAGCCACGTGGAATGAAAGAGCCGGATACAGATTTTAGCTTGAGACGAGGAATGAAAACGCTATTATTATGACCTAGTCCAGAACTTTGACGCGTAGTTAGCAATGAGATTAGATAAATACTTAAAGTGTTCGTATTATTTATGATAATATAATAATACTGAGTGTACGATTGACAAATGATGTGACATTCCAATCAATAAAAAACGGATTAGTGGAACACATGAATCACATCGTAACAGTGTCAGAGAGAAGAGAAGAGCAGAGACAGAAATGAATACAATCGATGTAAATTCAATTCAACGGTATCAACCATTTCCATGTGAATGATTACATTTATTTGAGTTTTATTGAAGATACTAAACTCTGTTATTATCTCGTGTTCATCCATGAGCAGTTTTCATTAAGTTGAAACGCTAGTACATTATGAGAGAATTTTCTACTTGTTTTTCTCCCTTCAAAACACGTACAAATATACACGGTCGCATCTGTACTTGGCCGCTGCTATCCATTGTCTCTTTCCTAGAACTATGCAAAATTGTATAAATATTTTTTTACAACCGATATCTCCGAATAATATTTTATATTTTTCGAAGCTCAATCATCGATCTTTAATCTGGTAATAATTAAAACAAAATAAAAAACTTTTTAGAAAAAAGATTAAAAACTACGTAATTATACTTGTTTTTTGTTAAAATTGTAAAAAGAGGCAATATCTTGTTAGTTCATTTCAATGTTACAACAATAATAAAATAGAACAGCACACAAGCCTATCTTTGAGATGAAATGTACTTAGACTATAGTGATCATTCCCTATGCAAAATTTTTGTTGATCAGTCGTTGTTGTCTCTGTTTGTTTTAGCCAGATTCTCTCTAAACTAGATTCGCAGCATGACTGAGTGATTTGCGAATAGTTTAGAATCTCAATAAAAAATATTTCTCAAAATTAATGATATTGTGTAAGATATACTTTTTGCTTTACATAATAACGATGTTTTCGTTTAGAGAAACATCTTACTCTTTCAAAGAAAATCTATTTGTTCCATTTTAACGTACAGATATTAAACTCTTTGGTTTACATAGAGTTTTTCAGAATAAGGTTATGCAACTATACTCACCATTTTTTGCCGCTATTTTACGCCGTTGTTCTAATCTTCTATCACATTCTGTCATTTGCAACGAAACGTCCCTTACGTTGACTCCTGGATAATATGTTGACGTTTTTTTCATCTTTCGTTTACTTTGTACTCTTATATTCGGTTTAGTATGTACATTAATAAATTCTGTTATTTGCAATTGTTCTATGAGACCATTAAGTTCAATACATAACCAATATTCACTATCATTTATATCAATGTTTTCAATAATAGAAGTTTGATTATTACCAAATTCAAATAGCAAATTACCATGTCTTGTTAACGTTAATTTTACATTCGCACCTGGATTAACTCGCGACGTTTGAAAGTCAATATTTTGTGATGAATACCAATCGTAATCTTTACTACGATCTGGAATACGAGAAGGAATATCTGTTTGTTTCATTGATCTTGGATCCATTGTTGTTAAACCAAATCGAATTGTTGTCAAGTATTTATCATCAATTTTAAGAAAACTTAATACAATTAATTCATCAATAACTAGACGACGATTTGAAAATAATAACGTTTGGCCAAGTCGTAATCGACGTGCGTCTCTTAACTGATTTGTTACTTCAACATCTCGACCATGATTCTGATGAAATGTGAGTGGTTCTATTATTTCATTTTCCTGCAAGTGAAAGAAATAAAAAGAATAAAAATGAAACTAATTGAAAACAACTACATTTCAAAGGTGACGAAGACGACAATCGTCACGTTACATATGTATACATGTTAATCTTACAATACACATGAGTAATTTTGTACATCTCAGAAATTTGAAGCAATTAAATTACAATTACTTCAAATTGAATTGAAGCTTGTTTCAACTGAAATCGACTTTAAAAGGCAAATCTTATAACAAAACTATGCAAAGAAAATTTGCGCTAAAATTGACCATTTTATCAAATAAAAGCTAAAGATAAATAGATCGAGAAATGAGTTAGTACTTACTCTATAATAAATCCTATAATATTTGAAACAGGAAAAAAAGTTTCAGCTATACACATCTACAGTAGTGCTATTTTCTCACTTAACACGGTTAATGGTAGAGAGAAGTTAATTACTGTTCAATAGAAAACAGTAAAGTACTTACAAATTTCAGAATCATTTGGTTTGGAATGTCAGAACGATTATCGAGTTTTCTGTTAGATGTATCTAGTTTGTCAAACAGTGAACACAGCGTAGTTGGTACATCAAAATGTTCACATATTCTCTGTTTAGATCGTTCAAAATCGTTTTTGTCAAAATTGATATTATATGTTTCACCCAAATATTCAACACAAGTTGAATAAATATTCGAAGAAGTTCTGCTCATTTTATGTATCTACAAATTCGCAAAAGATGATAAATATGCATGAGAGAAGGAAGGTCACTGGAAAACGCATGAAATTAGAAGATTTTGGGTTAGTAGTGGCAAACATGAAGAGTCTTTTTTTACGTAAGGTGAGGCATTACTTACACACTCGACAATAAACAAAGGTACCGCTTAAAACTTTTGGTATATTTATAAAAAATTTCTATTACGAATTTTACTCTTTTAGCAGTAAATCAGCCTCAATAATCTGTTCACTTTTATGCTGTTTCTTTCTGTGCTTAATAAAGTGATCTCATTTGTAATATTAAACAAAAAGACGTAAAGGGCTCGTTCTTTTTTGTCTGTAAACAATATGAGCACGAGTTTCGAGAAAAATAAAAATAAATTTTCCTCGACTTTAATACGAAACAATAGCTATGTTCCTTTTCTTGAACACACAAATAAAAAAAGGGGAATATTTGACTAACTATACTATAAGCTGGTAGAAAACCAAAACAAATTGAGTCATAGTGGGCCGCTGAAAGGTAAATGGGAGTTTGAATAACCAATTAGATAACAGAAGCTACACCTTGTTTCTTCACTGAAGGTGGTGACTATTTTTACTGACCGACTGGCTTTACTGATCTAATTTGATTGGTCTATCCCATGGTTACACCAATCAAGTTAGGTAGGTTCAGTCAGTTAGCTAGGTCGGCCAGTAAAAATAGTCACACCTCAGTGAACAGAATGATACGTCTGCAGATCGCGATGACAGGATGAAAGCAGGTTGAGATAAACAAGGAGCAAATGCTGAGAGCAAATCACTACAATCGACGTGAAAGTGACGCAAATTATGTTGATTGTAGTGATTTGTTTGCGGCGTTGCGTAGTTTATCTCACCATGAAACAAAAGATCAACACATAACGAAAAATCTTCGGATCGGGTAGCAAAGACATCTCAAAACTACAAGTCCGATCTTGATCAGACTTTAAGGGAATACTGACGATGCCTAAGTTTGCTGACGAAGCTATTTTTGGTTTCGTCAATTTCCGTTAGAGCGTTGTTATTCCATAAAAAAGTTCAAAATGAATTTAACAATTTCCTAGGCCAAAGAATCTTACTGTAAGAGCTTATGAGATTCTTGTACGATTTCATCTGATTTCGGAAGATTCTGTAAGAAACATAGAAACTGCTTCTCGATGCAAGATATAATAGTAAGATTTTCTCGGATTTCGTAAGATTCTTGTATGATTTTTATAAGATGAGACAGTTTCTATGATCTTATTGTAAGATTTCATAAGATTGTTCGACCTGGGTTTATGTCATATTTCTACCCTTGGTTTTCGTAAGATTTCTATAAGATTCTTATCCGATTTCCGTACTTTCGGTCGCCTAGGGTGTCAGTCATGCCTAGTAGTACCAGTGTAGTTCACGCTATGAATCTCTTTAATATTGAGTACAATATTAACAATTTACATACTGAATGATCGATTACAATCAAGACTTCACACAGTACTCAATTTATTCATATTAACATTCATTTCCGTTGATTGGAAAAAACACTTTCATTACGTAATTGCAAGATGTAACAAAATTTTATATTTAGTGCATCAGTATAAGAACAAATTTCAAACTACCGCTTTAGATCAAATTTCTAAATGTTAGGCGTATCCCATATTGCTTTACGGCTTAATTCTTTATTCATTACCAGTGCTAAAAACCTTTCTCTAATATCTAGTGTACAATACAAATTTGCTTTAGCTGTAATTAGTTGCTTAAATTTAACGAGTGGGCGTAAAGTACTCCAGATCTTAGGATGGCAGAACGTACTTGAAGTTTTTGATCAACAGAAAATTCTCCTTGTTTTTAAGATAGTGAGAGGACTAACACCTAGTTTTTTCACCCATTTCTACTATCCAACAAATAGCTGGTGGTACTTGTGTTATCAGTACGATTAACAGCGATAAACAGGAAACAATTATCGATCGTTTCCTTGACGAATATAAACTAACACGAAAACATTGAATAAATACACGTTCAGCAGAGATGAAACTCGTTAACCATAACAAATAATAGTGAACAGTGACTGTTATTTACTTGTGTAGTATGATACGTTACTAATGCATGCGGAAGTTTGATTTGATCATCAAACCACACTTCACTGTTAATAAATTTAACCAAATTAGTCGAACACACTATAAGTAAATAAATACCGATATTAGTCACACGTAGGGACGTTCGGTTCTCGTTAAAAACCGGAACCGCGGTTCTTTTCGTTTGGGTTCTAAGTGGAGAACCGGAACCGCGGTTCTTTCGGTTCGGTTCTAACTCGAGAACTGGAACCGCGGTTCTCAGTTCCGGAACCGAGAATCCCTAGTCACACGTATTTTACGACTGATAACAGTCTGAAACATAAAAATTGTATTCAGCAAATGTAGAAGTATAAACAGTTGTTGAATAACAAGATAATAATATTTAATATGCGCTATATGATGTAATATACCTTGATACATAGTTTGACGAACAACATTATTTGTACGTTCACAAGAACTACCACTAAAGCAATAATCGCATACACATGTTGAAATTAATACATCTATCTGCTAACCACCACGGTGGATAACGTACCATGATTTTTGAATGTGGATGCAAAAAAACGGAGCTGACGTTCTTTTATTTATTTATCGTAAGAGGAAGTTATCGATAGATTAGAGGAAAAAAGAACATTGCTGAATGTAGGTAAACATGACCAAATTTCCAGTAAAGAAACACAAACTAATGGGCTGAATAAAATTTCTTCTATGTTGACTGTAATGATGATTGTACTGGAATATTGACTATCGAAGAGGATGCCCGAACATGAAGATGATCAGCATGAAATGGGGTTAGAACGACTGTTGATGACGTTGTATGAGGTAATTGCTGATTGTTTTCTGTGAAGGAGAGAAAAGACGGTTGTTGTTTCAGTTTTTGTGAAATGCTTTTGCTGAGATGAAATTGTTGACGTTTTGCGTAGGAATATCACTTTACTGTTCTTTACCAAGTGATAAGTAATAAAATGTATTAGTTATTACCTGGAAACAAGTAATAAATCTTATTACTTTATTACTTATTACTTTTTTCAAATGATAATCTTTTATTACTTTACTTATTACTAACAAGTAACGCTCATCTACAGATTCGCCGACCCTTTTCTGAAAAGACTTAGTTGGCTTCTCCACTCCGAATTTCCACACTCGTCAGTGACTATACGTATGTACGTCCGTCACACTGATTAGGGACTATATGTATGTACGTCCGTCACACTCACTGGTCACTATATGTATGTACGTCCATCACACTGTCACATCACTATATGTATGTACGTCCGTCACACTCACTGGTCACTATTTGTATGTACGTCCGTCACACGCACTGGTCATTATATGTGTGTACGTCCGTCACCGTGTGTGCTTACGTCCGTCACACCTCTGTACGGACAAACACACACACACAAACACTTTGTACTTTTTCGTATGACCATAGACTTACAGTCAAAGGGACAAGATCGACTTACAAAACAATGACTAATAATCCCGACAGTTCATTCACTCGACCTACAGGCAATGCACTTAGTGAATCGATGCGATTCACTTTATTCACGTTATTTATTTATTCTAGTGACTGTAAGTCTATAGCCATTCTGAATTCCAGACAATGCTCACGCGTTCGCAGCCAGGACAAGTGTTATACTTCTCTGCTACCACAGAAACTCGAACGCATCGACCTATGTGCATCTATGTCCACCACACTCGTCACTGACTATACGTATGTACGTCCGTCACACTTATTAGTGACTGTATGTATGTACGTCCGTCACACTCCCACATGACTACATGTGTGTACGTCCGTCACACTGCCATATGACTATATGTATGTACGTCTGTCACACTCCCACATGACTGTATGTATGTACGTCCGCCACACTGCATTCTGATTGGGTGGACAGACAGACAGACAGACAAACATTTTCTGTTTGGAAGACCCTTTCTTTCAGAAAAGGGAATAAGACAAAAAGTAATTAGAAGTAATAAGTAAAATAGTGAAAAATTATTCCATAAAGAAGTAATAAGTAATAAAACAACAAGATTTGTCACCTGTTTACCGGTAATAAGTAACAAGCATTTATTACTTTTACTGGATAATATAATAATTAGTAAAAGTAACGTAGCATCCCTAGTTTTGTGTTTATTATTTACATTAGCTATTTTATATTTACAGCTTTTATTTGTCGTACCGTATTGATTGGATATAACGGCACAACTAATTCAGCAGTACAGTTTTGACAATTAACGCCTTCCTTTTTTGCTTGACACCTAACAAATCGATTTTGTTTTTTTTGAAATGTTTCATGTTCAACAAAATGCGTGTCAACTGGTGCATTATTCGATATACAATCACACTTTGTGTCACAATCCATGAGATCCATTAGTTGATCAACACAGCAATCTAGTGTTTTTTCGATTAATAAACGATATTTTGCATTAATATCGTCTATAGTTGGATCGTTAGCGTTGACGCACAATCGTTTCATGGCGTTTGTATTCCGTTCGTAATTATCATTTATCACTGTTATGATAAATGGTTGTTGATAAGACACGGATAGATGATCGCCATCAGCATGTAGAGGCTTAATTGTATGAGATGTAGAATGATCTTTAGCTAGTTTCAATGGTTTATCATGGGCATTGATTTTTCGGGTAAAATCAGACAAACACACTGTCCCTTTACTCTTATTATCATTTTTTAGCACCGAGTGAACGTTATCATTCAATAGCAATGATGATAAATTTTTTGAAAATTTTTTGTTATGATTATCGTATAACTGGAAGTGTAGGCGATGCTGATGATAGTGACGTTTCGAAAAACTCCATGACTTATTTAAGTGATAATGGCTGTTTGAATTTTCGATAGAACAAATTTGACGCTCAGGTTTAAATTTGGGTGATGAATGCTAAAATATTAGTAGCAATCAAGCCTAAAATTAATATTTCTCAAGGAAAGCCGCTTCTGGATCCCCCCCCGAGCTTAGCCATTTCTATTTTACCCTCGATATTAACAATTATATTTTCTTAATACACTACTTACTGCTGTTGTTAATGTTGTAGCAATTTTGGCTTTATCTGATATCACTGGTATGTCATGCAGCCACGATTGCCGTTGAAACTGAGAATAAAAAATAAAGAAAACGTTAACGGTAGAAGTCTTTCTATCGTCCAAAACTTGTTTCTTTGAAGGTAATATACTCGACTGATTTACCGACAAATATTTTACCTTTGAAGATACGGTTGCCATCAATGGCGACATTTCATCGATTGGAACATAACAGGACTTTGAATTATCTCAAAAAGAGAAAAGGGTACATGATTAAATCGTTATAAATAGCATGTTCATCCGTATTATGACATACCATTTGAGGGCGTTGATTTCTTTTTCACTTCTTGAAGTATATCATAAATAACTGAGATATTATGAAAATTCCTTTTGAAATTATTATCATCAGTAGACGTATTCTGTTTAATTTTTGATTCTTGTGTAGTCAGCAGCTGTTCTAATGAGAATTTTTTCATCAAGTTATTTGTACTATTAATATCCTTCACTAATACATCAACGGAATCATTTTTAAGGTTAACACATTTCGGAGAAGATGGTGGATATTCAAGACTAACGCTTATTATAGGTGTTTCTGGCTGTTGCTCGTCTGAGTTTAGTAGGAGTAGTGCATTGCTAATTTGTGACTTTTTATGTTCAAAGATATACGACGGATTTTTGGATATTGTTTGATGGATGGATACATCGTTATTACCTTTTTCCTGTCCTACATCATTTTCAGTTTCGTCTAGATTTTTAATTGAGAATTCTCGTTTTCTTGTTGATGTATCTGATGCTGTCGTTAGAGTGGCTCGATCTGCCGTAACGCTTTCAACTGGTTTTGACGACAGTGTTGTGACTGGAAACGTTGATGATTGTGACTGTAATGATGATTGTACTGGAATATTGACTATCGAAGAGGATGCCCGAACATGGAGATGATCAGCATGAAGTGGGGTTAGAACGACTGTTGATGACGTTGTATGAGGTAATTGCTGATTGTTTTCTATATTCATTGGTTCTTCAGTTGATGTTTTTACGCGTTTAACGCGTTGTTCGATGCACTTAATTGAATCATGCCAGTCCAAAATGTATAATTCGGCTAAAATTGTTGCTGCGGCTGCCACAGCCTATGAATAATACAACAGAACTAGTCTTAATACTTTTGATAGCAAAAAAATACTCACCGGTAACATAATCTTCCTTAAATGATATTTTATTTCCAAGTAAATCTCATATCTAACCAGATAATGGATGAAACATGCGAGTTAAATAGCACTAGAATGGAATCAACGTAAAATATTTGTCCTCGATACTTTCGACATGCAAAAAGAAACTTTTCATTTTAGAAACGAACATTAAACAATTAAACAAAATTGTTGTTCAACGAAAGTTGACTCATGCACGCGCCGATTATTAAATTTATTATCGTTCAAGTTTAAAATGATATGTATTGTTTTCAAAATTGATAATATAATTTTTTCAATGATATTCTGACTCAAATGTGTTCCGTAATCAGTGTGAAATTTAATGATTAAGGGCTTCTATAGGAGAACTTTTGGCTAGTATTTCATATTTTTAGAAGCCCGCTTATTGCGAGCAGAAAAAAATTTGTCGTTAAGACTCATTGTATTATTCCTCACCACGGAAATCTTTAGTAAAAGGCGAAAGATTTATGCGTTTATGATGAGGAATCAGAGTTATACAATGGTTGAAAGAATTATGGCTTATAAAGGTATTTAACTGTAAAACAAAATCGGTGAATGAAGAAAATAGTGCAAAACATATGAGTCATAAGTGTGACGGACAGAAAGAAGACAAACACACACTACATTATTTTTTTCTGTACAGAATAAAGATAAGAAATGAAATAATACTGATAATAGGTGGTATGTTTATATTATTGAATTCATAAACTACCGTTAAATAATTGACGGCACTTCTTTACTAGGGGATTCAGAGGTGGAACCAGTATAGAAAAGCGAAATCGTTTGGCGATTCAACGTGGCTTTTGTTTAATATGTCATTTATTCTTTGTTCATTCTCTCATACAGTATTCTCTCCTGTTCTATGTGGAGTACCTCTAAGTAAGCGAACAAAAATATTGTCTTTTCTAAACGGCAAAAACCGACTGGAACCGGACCATCGAAGTGAATCGGTCACCAGTTTAGCTATCCGATTCCACCTCTCGAGAGATTGCTACATGGTTGTTTTAGTTTTCTTTTAGGTCGGATTTGCAAACTTATATTAGCAACCCTACTCGTATGCCACAATTATGGTTACGGATTTGACGAGAAAGAAAAATAGACGAAGGAGAACGTCTAAAAGAATATGTGTTGTTGCATGGATTATCAGAATGTAGAGCATTTGTAAAAACATCTTGTTTCTTTATGTCATATTCCTGATTTTGTTGAAAAAGCTTAAAAAAAGTTCTAAAAACTTTTAGAATACAAGATTTTATTCCAGTAATCTAACTTACGAGTGACAGTGATGTATAGATGAACGATAACATAGGATGTAGGCGATAACATTCATTTTATAATGCGGCCTCCAATGTTACAGTAAAAGTGAAACAATGCTATAAAGTGTGAAAGTATTATGATACAAATTTGATGTCATGTCTTTAGCGTGGCAACATCACACCTTTAACACGAGCATCTCTAATGAATTTAGAGCAAAGACCAAAAATCTATTCTTATGAAATTCCCAATGATCATTCGGCTTCGAATAGAGAAGCCAAACGTTTTCAAGCGAACGAATGTTCAAGAAAACAAATCTTTCAAAATTAATATTAAACGTCTAGTTGTGCCCATCGAAAAAATGCAACAAGTTATTTGCAACTGTTCAAGATAATGGAGGGAAAAGAGTGTGTATATATAAAAAGTTGATTCAATTCTTTTAGCTAACAGCGTTGTCGATTTTCCATAACCATTTAGTAACCATCTAATGCGATAATAGTTTGTGGTTTAACCAAGCATAACAAAGATGATTTTTGTTGTATGAATATCAAAAAAACTTTATTATGATAAAAGCAGATTCCAGTAAGAACTACCGAAAAGCCAATTCAACGCTAAAGCATGACACTCTGAGAGATTTTTTTTTGTAAGAAAAATTGCAAGAAAAGCTCTATTCGTATTATAACCAGTAATAGTAGAAGATATTATGCGCAAATAATGAAAGTGTATATGATATACATTACGTACATACGATACTAAAGAAAGTTGATCGAAGAAAGAACATTTTGCCTTGCAGCTACCTTTACCAGTGTACAGTTCTAACAAGCGTCACTTCCAATAGACTCATATCTTCTCTCACGTTGACAAGCTTCTCAAATGGTCACCCATATCACCACTATTTATCACCTTCAGTTCTGGCTAAAAGGCTAGCCTAATGTAGCGTTCTTCCGGTTGAGCTTCCTAGATACACTTACTAATCACGTCACTATGAATAATGCTCAAAGTTACTGAAGTACGTGACCAACGTGACGTTAGTTAATGAAGTACGTGACGAACAACATGATCACCAGAGCAGGCAATCAAAAAATTGTCTATATCATAGGGTTAGTTTGATATGTTGAGAATAGGACTAGAAAAGAATAGAATTGCATGTTGATTGTTTCTTTGAAAAAACTGTCGGATCTCTTAGTGTACAAGGCTATTCAAAACTGATTTCATTCTCAGTTTTATTAAACATTACAGTACCTACATCACTTCAACGCTCAAAATGCGCGCGATTGGTAGAACTATACAATCATTTCTATCTAATACCTTTGAAAAATTTGTTTATTAAAAACGCAGTTTAGTTATTAACATAGCGCCAAAAACTATCTTTTTATTCGGATGACTCACGCATTGAGGCGTGTTGAAAATTTTGTTGAATAATACTCTTGAAATGTGTTGTCTATTTTCATGTCTTTCTTATTCACATCCTCAACATTCTTGCATCGTCTTCTATCAAAATTAGTGGAACGTAAATTACAATATCTATCATTATCCGTTGGTCTTGTATTTTGTTGTTTAGCATATCAACGTTGCAATCGTTTAAAAAACGAATTGCAACATTATGAAAGACGTGAACAAACAATATTGACACTGAACAAACAAAAACAACAAGAATTATATTTTTTACAAACAAATATCACTCTGTTGGAAGAAACAGTTGAACAAACGTTTTTAATATCGTCAAAACTACCTCGATATATGCCAACATCATCACCAGGTTTAGAAGTATCGACAACAGAATATATTCATAATAAAATAGACTATGATTCAAATAATAATATCGTGTCTCGTAAAGATGTTATATTAGATAGTTATACAGAGAAAGGTAGTCTTGCTGATTACATTGATAGTTTCTAGTGCAATGACAGTAGACTAGATACTACAAAAGTAAAATTTTAGTCATAACGGGTGTCCCAGAATAAATGAGCCTCTCAGTATTTTGTTTATAATTTGGTTTGGATTTGTTTCCGAGACTCAATGTTTTTTTAAAAGATGCACTGGGAAATACTCTACAAAAGCATATCTAAACTATAGTTTCAGAACTTCAATCAAGAAAACTAAGCCAACTAGATAAAAATCGAAAAAAATGAAAAATTTCCAAACTCAAAAATGATTTCTTGTGCTAACGTTTTGAAAGTAAGAAAAACGGAATTAGCCATTTTGTAGCCCTGACCTCGCTCTATCTTTTAGCTACACTTCAAAAATTTTCACATCAAAATCCACGACGAAATAATGGTTTTTCTGTACATTTTTCATTAATTTTTTAAATTATGGGTATAGTAGTGTTTTCAGTAAAAGTCCCATAACTTCATCAAAATAAAAGCTTTTTCGGTCGGATTTATTTTGTTTTGATCAAAAATAATTGCTCTTCTCTATCTAACTGTAAAATCAAAACTTTAATCATGTTTTCCGTTTGTGTTGCTTGAGCACATTGTTGGAAACGGGGAAGTTGACAACTTTTGATGCATTTTTGTAATTTCGTTCTCCAGCACACCATCTGCTCTAAAACAACTTTTTATAGACCACGAGAAAGAACATATTTGAAAGTAACAAACATAAACTGATAAACTTTAACATTCATGGGGACCGTTACGTGCTTACTTAAGAGTATTTTATTTACAATTTTCCTCTTTTTAGATTTTTCAAGAACAATAATAAATATGTCAAACATGTTTGATCATGGTGACACTGTTCATTTAGTTCAAAAAGTGCCCGTACGATCGGTTAAATCGACCATTGCTATGGTTGACGAAGACGATGAATCTGATGATCCTTTATTACAACGATTGAAGGGAATACGTCCAGGACGATTAAAAAATGCCGTAACTCGAACATCATTCAATGAAGAAAATGATCGAACCACATGTTCATCATCATCATCATTAATAACTGATCATAATTTGACTAATAATTATTATATCGATGTTCTTGAATTTAGTGATTGTCTATTTGTTGACGAAATACATGAATTACATGACGAGTAATTATCATTGCCGTTTAATTTTAATTTCCCAAAGAATCTTAAAAGATTAATTTATATTTGAAGACATAATACAAAGTGTAGACACAAATATTTACCAATTCTTTCGTTCGTTCATATGGTGTACATTGCAAAATATTTTCAACATTGATCTGATAAATATTGTGTTCAATCGCGTTTTTTGTTAATGTCTTGTTCAACATTTCTAATTTTTGTATCAAATAATCGTACTGTGGACAACCTGCTGATAATGTTTCAACATAAAAATTGATTCTGAAATGAATCAACGATATACTATTGACAAATTTACATAAAATATATAAAAATATTAAAAGTATACCGTTTTTCCATAGCGATATAAATTGAGTGAACATTTTTATAATTTAAAATAAAATTTTCAAGAACATTAAAAAATTCATCAGTTAATTGATCGTCGTAAATGACTAAACAAATGATAAAGAATATGTTTTTTTATCATAACTTAACAAAACAAATCATTTTACCGTCAGCTGCTAGAATTATTTCTAAATCATTTAATTGCACTATATCCTTATCGGTCCAATTGAATAGATCAGAGGTGCATGGTAAACAATGAGAATGTTTTAGCCAATCGAGACATCGAATTTGAACTTTATTATCTATTTCATATAAATTATTTTCAATATTTTGTTGTGCTATTTGTAGCAATTCTATATTATAATCTGTACAATAAACAAGTTCCGCAAATCGACTGACTATGATGCTTGTTAATCCAATTCCGGCTCCTAATTCTAAAATAGTTTTATTTTCAAATAATTCGGGCTTATTCAATAAGTAATCACATAATAAGAGACAACCATTCCATAATTGAAATCCACATTCATTAACAGTAGTTAATTCACGATGAACTAAATAGAAAAGGCAAACAATAAATCATCATCTTTCTTCAAAAAAAAAAATATTAAAACATACTTATAGTTAAATTGATCAATTGAGCTCGAGATACATTAATATCTCCATCAGCATCGATAGTATACTCTGTAATTGTTGGTATATGAAACTGTATTTGACTTTTAATTGTATCTAAACTTCTTAAAAATATTAAATATTAAGAATTGTCCAAAACGAGTGACTTTTTTTCGATACATGCCTAATGATTTTTCATCTGATTCATTCGTAACACCAGACTGAATGAGTTCGTCAACATCATTATCTTCTTGTTCACTCATATTTTGTTGTATTCGAACATCTAATCTGAATGTATAAGATATTCGTGCGCATTTGAAGTGTACGAGTCTGATAGGATATAACAAGTGCTTCAGAAATAATTCTTCTCTGACGAGGGAAGGTCCCAACTGTCCGATCGCTTTCG